AACGGGGGCGATATCGGGTCTTAATTTATAGGTAATTTGAATATGCAGTAACGATTCATTTGTCCGGGCGATATTCCGGTAACGGAAAACAGTGAGCTAAAACTTGTACAAAAATTCTCGTTTTAGTCTGTCTATATAATGAAGTGATCAAAGTAGGATGGATGGATCTTCAACTATGACAGGCATGGACTACAAATACTCTTGGACCAGTTTACTCATTCACTGCCGCCTCTTCCTTCTCTTTCGCTTTCCCCTCGTCCGTGATGTGGAAGCCCTCAATCTTGCGAGAAACCTCTTCTGCGGGTACCTCCACGTTTCCAACTGGCCCATTTGCTACCAGTGCTTCGGTTTCTTCTGGAGTCAAAGGGGTCTGCCATATTCTTATGGTTCCATCTTCAGATCCCGAGGCATATGACTCCCCTCCGGGCGAGAAACGCAGACAGTGAACAGGACCGTGGTGACCCTTGTTGCATGCTGCATCAAGACAAGGTGGATTAATTGAGGGTTTATAATAAGAAACCAACAAAATATCCGATGATTATAAAAGCACGGGACACAAGTAGAAATTTAGCCTGTAATGACTCAAAGGAGCCAGATAACCTAACAAGTAGCCTATTGGAATTATATTGAAGGTATGGAACTGAATCCTGACCATACCAGGGACGTTAAGAGTTGTTTAGTTCATATTGCCAGCTAAGCATTGGAACAGACCGTACAAAAGGGGAAATAAACAGAAAATTCACTTGGAAGGATTTTTGTTTTCGAGCACATACCAATCTCTTCACCGGTATGGAAATCAAACACATGAACCCACATATCTTCTCCCCCAGCAATGAACTTGTTCCCAAACTTTGGTTCCAGTGAAGCTGATTCTACTGTGCACGGCATATTGTAGCTCTTCACCAACCCAAAGCTGGAAAATGATTAAATTATGATAAGTCAATCCAAAGCATAAACTCTGGAAAATATAGAACAATCAAACTGATAACTTACTAGTTGGCATCCCAAAACTTCACAGTCGACCCATCAGCAGTAGTAATATAACGACCATCTTGACTAACTTCAGAACTGGTCACGGATGATTTGGTCTCCAGTGTTTGGACTATTTTACCAGTTCTTACATCCCATAATCTGTAAATTTACCAGTCACTACCAAGTTTAGTAAAGAAAGGTAAGAAATATAGTGTGCAACACAAGAAATTTTAAAAGGACAGCTTTGACATCAGATGGTTTTACAAACATGCATACCTGACACCTCCCATATCAGTACAAGAACTTAGTATGGTCTGGTCACTGTGGAGCCACGCAGCAGTTCTGACTGAACCTGGGGATTTATCCACTTCTCTTGGAGGGGCATCCGGACGATTCAAATCATATATACGGATAACTTTCTCTACTCCCCCGGTTAGCAAAAGGTGTGTATCCTGTTACCATTTCAATAAGAATCAAATGAGATTACAAAAGCACATAAGTAGGGGACAGACCATAGCTTAATGTATCAGCACCAATAAACAATTTCCGTAAACTTAATGATCCAGCATGATATCCCAGAGACTATTGAAATGCAAACCAAAAACTAACAAGATTGGAGGTCAAATACAATCATAAAACTTAAAATGCCAATACCCCAAAAAGTTACAACTAAAGCTTGGTGGGTAAAACATCCAAAAGTCTAGATTAAATTAGATATCCCCTCTTACCCCAGGGAGAACACCACCTGAGCGAGGAAAACATTTTCCAAATCAGAGTTAAGCAGGTAGTTACTGCAAGTGGATACAACATCTATCACAGTGTAAGTATCATTGAATATAGTGAAACATATGCATTACATTCCACATCACATTTAGATTCTAGCATGAAACTTCCATAGCATATACGATCCTAGAAACAAAAATTAACACCTTTGTACGTTAATCCCATTTCAACTTAACTATACTTTAGATGATGATGATGACAAAAGACCCACCTCTGAAAAGGCACAAGCTCGAACAATATGCTTGTGTTCAAATGAGTGTAGCACATCTCCTGATAATGCATCCCAAACTTTCCTGCACATGAATTTGATGCACAAAATAAATCAACCTTTGATTAAATTAACTACTACTTAATTGACTAAACAAGCAATGGCAGAAGAATGGATGCTCTGGTGAGAGAAACACAATGTAAAAACATAATTATGGAAACAGATATGTCAGATATGGGTTATGTTCTCAAGAACCAAGATTGTGAAGTACGATGATAAGGAAAGGAAAATAGCAAGCACAAAAGACCCTTAAAACTTGGGAAACAGACTTTACTTAAGCAATGATGTTGAAAGAAATATAAAGAACTAAAAGAAACTGTTTGGGACACTACGGAAATTCTTGACACTTGATTATAGAATCGGGTATATTCAAAATTTTAAAGTAAAAGCATACAGATTTCCAAGCAAAGTTCTCACGCAAGAACCCATAACCACTTAACTCTAACCAAAAACAGGACACTAAACTCATTAATAGAATCAAGAGAAGCAACGCAACTGATCATCCATGTACAAATTGAAACTACAGATATATAAAGATTGAAGGCATACGCAGAGAAATCTGCAGAAGCAGTTGCAGCACGTAGGGCATTAGTATCCAAGCAGCAACTCCACACTGCACCTTTGTGCCCTTCAAATGTTCCAATCCAATCTCCAGTCTCTCCGTTTCTCAGCATTGGACTCGAATCTAAACAGCACAAGTGAAACTTCACATATAATTTCCCACCAAAACAACTTCAAAAGAATACAACAATATCTAAGAGCACTTATGAACATTAACATGTCGCATTCTCAATCAGGAAATATCTGTTTCAGCTGTGCCATATATCCTAATAACACGATTCACCAGATTACCACAACCATTACAATTCGCGGTTTGACGGAACAAAGAAATTAATGTAATTTCAGCTAAACAGTTATAGAAGGAAAAAAAAAACAACCGCTAGTTCAACAATCATCTATAAAGCAATCAACTTGCACATCAAACAGATAAACACAGCAAATTATACAGTAATGAAACAATAAATCAAAACCCACATCGAAAATCAATCGTTATCGATACATACCCTTACTGGCACTGATGAGGAAGAACCCATCAGGAGTAACCGGACTGTAAAACAGATCCACCACCGGACGCGAATGGCCGTGGCAAACCAGCGGAACCGCCACCTTCTTCTTATTATCCATCACTCACAAGCTAAATATATAAAAAAAAATTAAAAATATCCCAAATTTTTTTTTTTAATTTTTCTTGATCTGTGTCCCAAAACTTCAAAATCCAAAAGAACCCTAACCCTAAAAGTAATCAATTTCTGTATACAGATTGAAACCGGAATCAAGAGATGTTAATTTGGGGGAAAATTGTACAGAAAGATGGAGCGAGAAATTGGCGGTATTTTGAAAGTACAGGTGGGAAATTGAAAGGAAGAATCCACACCTCCTAACCCTCGAAACAACAATGGCTCTGACTGAATCAAAAACTAAAGTTGGGGGAAATTACACGGAAACCTAAATTTCGAAGAAAATAATAATAATTTAATCTAAAAGAAAACTGGTAATGTTAGACGAAGAACAGAGCAGTGTGAGACCAACGAAGGGCTAGGCGCAAGAGCAAGTTTTGGCATCGGGTCTGACTTTTATAGGCCGAGCTTTTTGGGCTTTTTTTTGGGTCCGTATTCTGGATTCTGGATCTCGGTGGTATGTTTCTGGATTCGGCTTTCTGACCCGGATGTGGACAACCCGGCCAATAAATATTCGAGTGAAAGCTGCATCTTAAAATATACGCTGCTTGAAAATAGTATCAGATTGTTGATGTGAGCCTCGATAAAAAACATTTTCGAAGACAACCACATGAAACAAAGCATGTTCACAAAAGTTATCCGCTGGCTTGTTTGGAGCATGTTCACGAAGCATATTCGCCTACGTATTTGGAAGAGACCACAGTTTCTCCGGCAACCGGCGGCTTTGACAACCAGACCTTCATTTGATGACTAAAACCATCTCCCAACCCAACCTTATGTCTGCAATACCATATATTTTAGGGAGTTTTAACGAAAAGCCCACGGTACTGTTCACTTTAACGAAAAACCACATTTTTACACTAAAAAGTCAAATCTGGTACTATTCACTTTACCCTTTATTTTGTCCTTATCATTAAAACTCAAAGTTTTCAAGCCCTTTTCATTAGTTTTCCTTATATTTTATAAGACACATAGGACTGGAAGAGAATATTAGAAGGTAGAATTTTAACGTGAATAGTGATTTTTTGTTGAATCGAGTAATTTTTGTTTTCGGTGTCCGCTTCTAGCCGATAGACATAAAAAGTTGCGATTAAAGTTGGATTTCGGCATCTTAATGATGTTAAGCAGGTCAAAACCGTTTTTAAGTTCTAAAGTTATCTTCTGAATTTTGGTAATTTCACGTTTTATTTTCATTTCGCATTTAGGATTATTTAAACAAGTTTTATGGTCGTTCCTCAATCATCTTATCCTACTATTCAATTAAAATTTAAGAAATTATCTCAAATTTTTGGTGTTCCAAAATTCTTTGGAAAATGACCGTTTCATTTTATTTAAGAGAGTGTCATGCATCACTATGCCCTCCCAACAAGTGTTTGTTCATTTCTTCAGCCTTCCACATTTTTGTAGTTATAGCATGTGTGCATCAAAGATTAGATAATAATGAATCTATGGGTTGAACGATCATTGTGATCAATTCTTTATGTCATGTGTTTTTATAATTAATTAATAATAAACGTGTAAGATAAAATTAAAAAACACATTTAGTAAAGGGGTGTGCTATCCACACATCTCATTTTACTTCTCACACACCCCTTGATAATTTATTTCCGTTGATCTTCTTCAATTCATCTGATCCGACGGCAGAAAATTAAAAAAAATGTGTGAAAAGTAAAATGGAAGATGTGAATATCGCACCCCTTAGTAAAACCCAACGGGTAGAGACACGTGGTGAGTTGGCGATGTCTACAGGTATCTTTATTCCAATTTAAAGAAATAAAATCAGCAAGTTGACTTTGAATAATGTACAAATTAATAAATTCTTCTTATCCATCTAATTCACTTTATATAACTAAAGATTTACTCCTTCAAATTCCAGACATCTTATTTTTGTCAAATCCGAATTCCAGACTTTGGTTTCTCCAAAAAATGTCCAGAACTCACAATCCATGTCAATGGCTTCCTGTCCTCTTCCTTCTACAGTTTTTCCACACATTAAACGGCGAAGTTGGCACTGCTGCCCAGTACCCTCCTCCATATCTACATAAGTACACACGCGCGCACATACACACACATATATATGTATGTAAACGACTCTGTGAACCTTGACACATAAATACATGTGTTTATTATTATATATGTTTAGCGACAGCATGTTTTGGAGGCGATTCGTCGCAGTTTCCGTCGAGTAATCTATTCGCTGCGGCCGGAGACGGAATATGGGACAATGGGGCATCGTGTGGGAGGCAATACTTGGTGAGATGCATAAGTGCAGAACAAACGGGGACGCGTGTTCCGGACAAGATGATTCAAGTTAGGATTGTGGACTATGCCGGAGCTATTGAAACATTGCCATCAGTTTCCGGCACCACCATGGTCTTGTCCCAAACAGCCTTTGGATCTGTTGCTAATTCAGCGGCTAAATCCATTAACATTGAGTTTCAACAGTAAGTCCATCCATTTCTCATCACCTCAATTCCTTTTTATTTATTGTTTTGTTTTGATAGCTAGAAAACCTTAATTATTCCTCTTAATTTGCTAACTGGGACACTATTTAAGTTTTATGCTTTGCTTAATTGTATACTAGCATATGGGCACACACAAAGTGTGTGAGAAATTTTTTTTATTTTTGTTTTTGAAATAGACGGAGAGAGGAAGAGAGTGATAGAGAATGTGAGAGTGGGAAGTTTTTTTTTTTTAAATATTATTTTTAATTAGAGATATGTTAGGATTGCATGTAGGTAAGGCTTTGAAAAAAAAAATAGCAAAATTTGGTTGTATGAAATTACATTTCTACCCTATATTTCTTATTCATATTCTGTTTTAATTAGATGGTTAAACTGATAATTTTATAAGGTTTTGGTTGACAATGAGTGTTTTATTAATTAGTAAAGATATATAAATATTGGATATATAGCTCCATGTATGTGTGAATTAGACAAGTTAACCTCTACTTGAATTTGATTCCCCTTGTAACATCCCACATCAGCCAGGGGAGTGATCCTTAAATGTATATTCTCATCCCAACCTAGCACGAGGCCTTTTGGGAGCTCACTGGCTTCAGGTTTCATCGAAACTCTGAAGCTAAGCAAGAAGGTGGCCAAAGCACTCTCATGATAGGTGACCCACTGGGAAGTTGCTCGTGAGTTCCCAGAAACAAAACCGTGATGGCGTGGTCGGGGCCCAAAGCGGACAATATCGTGCTATGGTGGTGGAGTAGGTCCGGGATGTGGTGGACCCCGGACCGGGATGTGACAATTTGGTATTAGAGCCAATCTCTGGCCGGAAGTGTGCCGACGAGGACGTCGGGCCCCTAAAGGGGGTGGATTGTAACATCCCACATCACCCAGGGAAGTGATCCTTAAATGTATATTCTCATCCCTACCTAGGACGAGGTCTTTTGGAAGCTCACTGGCTTCGGGTTTCATCGGAACTCCGAAGTTAAGCAAGAAGGTGGTTAGAGCACTCCCATGATGTGTGACCCACTGAGAAGTTGCTCGTGAGTTCCCAGAAACAAAACCGTAAGGGCGTGGTCGGGGGCCAAAACGAACAATATCATGCTACTGTGGTAGAGCGGGTCTGGGATGCGGTGGACCCTGGACCGGGATGTGACACCCCTCCTAGCCTAATTATATATCCCTATAAGAAAAATAAAAAATAAATTGGCTAAAGTGATTCTTTTCCAAATTTCAATTGCTAAAATGATCAAGTTTTTCAATATATCATTGATATCTAATAGTTATGTCATCAATCTTTAGTCGCCATGCTGCCAGTTTTAATTTTAATCCGTTCATCAATAGGAATTTAATTTCTGATTATTTTAACCAATTTCTCTCTAAAATATATATGTGTGTGTGTGTGTATGTATGTAACTCCATATATAGCTAGACAAAAGCTCTATATATTTTCTCCATATAGAGGGTAGGATTTGCGTTTCTATTTTTTAATGTTCTTGCTTTTGTTTTTCTATGCAGGGTATGATATGGAAAATGCAGAAATGATGAAGAATGGGCTTAAATTTTCAATCATATTCTTTTGCATGAGTGGAAGGTGCAGCAGATATGGCGGAGACAATTCATGTATTTGTATTCTAGTTATATGTATTTTGATGAGGGGAGAATCTAGAACCTTTTGATTTTCGATTGGTCATCCGTAAATTTGATTATTTTTCTAAACAATGAGTACAAAAAAAATGTCATTTTCTTTTTTATTCTTCGTTATATATATGTAAAGTATATGTAGTTGTTTAATACTTTTCTTAACCAGGAACGCTCCTCTCTTTCTTTTTTTTTTTTTTTTTTTTGGAAAACCTGTTTACTGCTCTTTGGAAGCTACCATATTTTGTCAACTTGACTATGTTTGGTGTGTGAATTAAATACTTTAGCATAATGTTGACATTAATCAACGAATATTTATATAGTTCGATTATTTTTGGTTGTTAAATTGGTTGGGTCGTTTGGGAATATTTTTTCATCCTTCTGAGTAACTAGACCAATCTTTTAGTGTCATTTTAAATTGATCTCAATCTTTTTAAATATTTCAAATTAGTTCCTAACCTATTAAAAATATCACATTAATTAAGTCCCAGTTAATTTTTCAAACATAGTTTATATTCAAAATTCACCAACAAGGTACGCATATCATGGTCAACATTAATATTAGTTGACTCTAAATTTTAAACATAGATTACATATAAGCAACCCAATGATCAAACGATATTGAATTGAATCAAAAATGGACCCAAATTGAAATTACATTAGGGTTGAGTTGGTGGTTTATACCATTTCAGCAACCTCCACGACCTTTTTCTCAATATTGGTGACTTCAGTTGTAGGGTGGAGTTGGTGGTTTTGCGTTGAGTTTGAAGGTGATGGCCTGATAGTGGTGGTGGTGGTGACCGTTAGTTGGTGGAGGCTATGCTTCCATAACCTTCTATTGCTTTGGGAGACTGTTTGGACCCGATTTTACATTATCGGCCCAAGCGATCGAGGCCGTTGAGTGAACATGATTCTCGACCGCTAGATGAGAAAGTGGAGATAATTTGATTATTAAAGGATAATATTATAATTATCTTTTAATATGAATTATCTCGGTATTTTTTAAACCAAATAAGTAGAATGCGATTCATATCCCAAATAAGCGGTACAATTCGAATTGATTTGGGATGTCTGACAGCACTTGGAAGTAAAATGAATTTAAAATTCGTTTGATCAGAATGATGATGGCTATTGTGGATGAGGTGAGGATGAGATAGGAGACCTAAGGGGGTGTTGTCAGATGAAGTAAATTGATGATGGACATGGCCTGTATGCCGTGTAAAATGCTATCAGCCATATATTTATATATATATATATATATATATATATATATAATTGGCGACATTAGGTCTGACAACTCATTGGAAAGGTGCAAACTTTGTTATATATATATACATATATATATATACATGTATATGTATATATATATATATATGTATATATTGGGTGGTTGATTAGATGGACGTTATCCAAGCATGCAGATTATCTTGGATTCGATGAAGATGAGTTTTAATAGTTTGGGAGTCTTTTTCACCTTATCAACCAGTGCGTATTCATCACTATAAATACAGAGTCGCAGGCAACGTTCAAGGACTCTCCAATTGAACACACAACTGCCCTGCGCAAACTCTCTCAACAACTTTGAGATTTTTATTTTCTCTTTTCGCTGACACATCTTCCGTTGGCATCAACAGCACTGTGAAAGCAACCGGTGATATCTTAAGTCGGCATAGATAGCTCTGTCACCGTAGAATCAGTCGGTCTTGCAGCATCTTCCGTAGGCATCAACAGCACTACGGCGAGGATGGTTGATTACCTATCCAAGTCTCGGTAGAGAAGGATTTCTGAATCCTTATTGGTCGAGGTCATCTCATCAGCCTTCTCGGCAAAGTGAGGTGTTACAGTTATTACATTCGGCATATTGAAAACCGAATTTGATTCGTGAACTTTGTAAGAATAGTAGCCTTGTCTTCAGGCTCGAGAATCCAAGAGGCCGAGACGTGTTCCTTTCTCGGCCGCAATCGCAAGACGCAGAAGTCAGTAGCGCGACCCAACGCAACATCAACAAAATTTACTCCTCGACCAAGTTCGACCGACGAGTTGGCACGCCCTGCATTCACCGAAGGACGTAGTTAGCTTATAGATTACTCGGCCTGCGCGCCACGTAGGCTTAGTAGTTTTTAGGGTCAACAGAGACATAGTAAGCTCTAGTTAATTTAACAGGTTTTTAACTGTGACTTAACGAATATGACATTTTCAATAGGTTGAGTACTTATGACAGCCCGTCCCGAAATATATTTTATCGATGGTGTGAAATGACTAGAATACCCTTGGTCGTTGAGTTATATTGTGTGGTGGTGTGGTTTAAGCTTAGGTTTTAGACCAATCTAGTTTATTCCTAAGTTTGTGGAACTTAAGTTTTAGTTATTTTTGGTTTGGTTGGCCAAACCCTGACTACACACACACACCAATCAATCACGTTGACCCTTCTCTTTCTCCTTCCCTCTCGGACTTCTTTCCATTTCCATACAATTGTACGTACAGATTTCAAACCAACCTTTGCAGGCACAAATCGACGTCGAAGAAGTGGTTTCGTGTTCCTTGTGAGCTCAGGACTCGATCTATACCTTTGGTTGGTCGCGAAAGCTTCGAAAACCCGAGAACCAAAAACCCCCGATGAGGTGCACAGTGACCCCGTCGTGATCGCGGAGGTTTCATCGAGTTTTAAGGTTATAGTGAGCCTTAGAACTTCTACGAAGCTTTTAGAAGAATTTTGGAAGGTTTTGAACGTCGGGAAGCTCGGGTTCGTTGAGTTGCAGGGGTGGTCGGACTATCATGGGTTTTTCCGGTGAGTTTCCGATGGATTTAAGACTTTATAGTGGTAAGGTTTTGTTCCTCTCATCTTTACTTTTGTCATCAATGAAGGTCAAGAAGTACCTATTACCTCCAAGTGTTGCAATCCTCATTGGACCACAAACATCACTATGAATCAGCTCTAGTGGTTCAGTTGCTCTCCAGGTTTGACTTGTAGGGAATGGTTCCCTATGTTGCTTTCCCATTGCACAACCTTCACACATTTCCTTCACTTCATCAATCTCAAGCAGGCCATACACTAACTTCTTGTTCTTAAAGTTCTTTAGACTCTGGTATTTAAGATGCCCTAGCCTTCTGTGCCATAGACAGGCATTTTCAATCACAGATGTCCTTATGGAAATTAAATCCATATGTTTCAAGAAAAGAGGAAAGCTTCTGTTATCCTTCATCAATACCCTAGCCACCAGGTTTGACGGTGACATGTCATCATAGATTTCTATCATAGAGTCACCAAACAAGAGAAAATACTTGTGTTCAATCATATGCCCAACACTGAGAAGATTCTCATCAAGTCCTGGTACAAGCATCACTTCTCTAATATATCTTTTTCCCTTATAGCTTTCAATAACTAGAGTACCTCTGCCAACAACATCAACCAAGTTTCCATTTCCCATTTTAACTCTGCCTTTGAAAGAAGTGTCAATATCAACGAGTAATGACTCTTGTGCAGTCATATGATTACTGCATCCACTATCAATATACCAGATGGTACTAGCCTTCTCCATTGTTGCCATTCTACACTGAGAAAATAACACATTGGCTTCCTCCACCTGATTTGCAAAGTTAACCTGTTGATTGCCTTTGGCATTGCAGTCTTTCACCCAGTGTCCAAATCTATTACACTTTGTGCACTTGGGTTTTCCCTTGAACCAGCAAGGTCCAAAGTGTAGTTTGTCACAGATTTTACAAGCAGTTTTGGATGTCTCTCCTTCACTACTACTTGCACCTTGCTTCTGCACTACACTAACTCTACTATCACATCTCTTGTTCTTTCTTTTCCACTCATTTTTGCCTTTATAATTTTGATTTCCAAAGAATTTCCCATTGGAGTATATGCTCTTGCCTCCAATGTTCAACCTTTGGAAGGCATTTTCAGTCATATTTTCAGCATGTCTATCTAACCTTTTATCACAGGCTTTGATTGACGCTACAACTTCTTGTATTCCTAGTGTATCAGGATCTTTTGTCTCCTCAATAACATCGACAATATTATCATATTTTCTAGTAAAACTGATAAGTATTTTCTGCACTATTCTAGCATCAGCAAGTTCTTCTCCATAGGTTTTCAACTGATTTACTAGTTCAAACATCATACTGAAATAATCATTCAAGGGTTCTCCTTCTTTCATTCTAGCATACTCAAAATCTCTTCTCAAAGTTTGAAGTTTAACTTTTCTCACCTTTACATCTCTTCTGTATTCTTCTTTGAGTTTGTCCCACGCTCCCTTTGAGGTTTCTTCATGAGCTATTCTAGGAAAGAATCGGTCTGTGACAGAGTTCTGAATAATCCCCAAGGCTTTCGTATCCTTTGTCATGTTCTCCTTCAAGATGATTTCCTTGCCAAGAGGAAGCTTCTTAGCATCTACAACCTTTTCAGTAGAGGTTTCATACCCTTCCTCGACTAACTCCCAGAGACCATGAGATTTGAAGATTGTTTTCATTTTGATACTCCAAAACTCATAGTTTTCTCTACCAAAGACTGAAGCTTTAACTTCTCCATTGGTATTGATAGACATTTTGAGAAGAAAGGAAGAGACTTTGAAAGATTTTGAGGAGTTTTGAAGGTTTTCAAAAAAATTTAGAAAACTGGGTTTCGGGACTTTTAGAGTTTCAAATTGAAATCTCCCCTTGAATCAAAACAACGCCCATCTAAAGATCGAAAAACAGCTCTGAGGCCATGTTAGAAATTGGATATTTAAGGAATGATTGAGAACAAAAGCTGAGGAAGAACAAAATGAATTTTTCAGAGAATTTCAGTGACTGCAAAACATGGCAGCAGTACTAAACTTTTCATTCATTGTAATTTTTTCAAAAACATTCTTCTTACTTATCTGCAGGTATTGCATATAGTACACATCCTTCAAATGGACAACTGGATATATGAATCACAGCCCTACATTAGTTATAATCTTAGCCTTACATCTGTTCTTTGAAAAACTAGAATCATATGCTTCATTCCTTTACAAGCTAGTCGTTGCATCTTTTAAGTTCCTTTTGGTCCTGCCTTCGAACCTTCAAGTCTGCGATATAGCTTACATTTCAACAGTACTTGAAAACAGCCACATGAAATATCCAAAAGGTGTCTGAGTCAGGCTATACAGAGCTTGAAATGTAAGGGTGGACTGGACGTGTGTGCGTGGATGTTTGACTTGTATGGAATTTAGGTACGACCGTATATGGAAACTAATGGCATATATGTGCATGGGGTCGGGGAAACTTCAAAACACTCAGAGCACTTCCACCGGAACACCATTAGGCCGGCACCCTGTAAAAAAAAGGGGCCGGGAGTCAGTCAATCCACTCCAACCCGTTCAATTGCCTGGCACCTAACCCAAGCTGGTCTCTAGGCTAGCCCAGAATTGACAGAGCCATGAACCAGCCTATTAGCGTGTGTTTTGTGGGAATGGCATCGAGGAAACACAAGACGACTGAGCAAAAAGAAAAGCAACTAGTGGCGCTGGCGAAATCAAGCTGGTGACCCGTGGCGTCGGCGATGAAGAAGTTCAAGGGAGCTCAGAAGAAGAAAGAGCAGGCGAAGAAGGAAGAGGTGGAGGCGGAAGAAGCGGAAGGGGAAGTTGTGAAGGAAGGTGATGACAACTCTGGCAAGAGCAAGGCGGAGGCCGAGTTTCCCCTGTTTCAGAAGCACCCATTCGGATTCCAAGATTACCTCACCATGGGCTTCCGATACCAAAACCTCTCGACATAATGGTTGATGCCGTCATCAGAGCCATGGTCGTTGCACGATACGAGAACACTCTGGTGGTCCTGACTGAGACTGGTTGGCCCAACTTCAGCACCAACCCAAGTGGAGAACAAGAACAAGAAGAAGAAAGGGAAGGAGAAAGTGGAGGCCGAGGCGGAGAACAAGAAGGAGAAAGGGAAAGCGAAAGTGGAGGACGACGGAGAAAGTACGGAGGTTGACGATGACGAGTCGGACAAGAGGACCATTGTAATAAAAAATAGATAATATTTTAATAAAATTGACTAGGCTATTTTTTTTGTTAGGGGTGGAGATGTTTTGACTTATTACTGTTTATTGGGGTATATTAATGTTCACTTGAGTGGATAAATGCGATGGGTGCTGGCGCAAAGTTTTTAAGGGTGGAATTGCTCTCAAATAAGCCAGAGACCGGTAGTGATTAAGGAGTAGGATTCTCTCCCCTCTTATTCCCATCCCCTTCCTTCCTCTCCTCTCACATATTGTTTTTTATCTTATTGTCTTAGTAAAAAAAATCAATATCAGATGTTGACGTGTCTAAACCATAACCGTTCAAATAGGAAGAAAGGGAAGGGGGGAGAGATTAGGAGGGGATATAATCCTCCTCCAATGATTAATGACTTAAAAGCATTCAAGTCTGGCGACCAGATCATAATTTAACCCACGTAGTCAACACGTTCAAACGTTACTTTTTGTTTGTGTCGCTGTTGGAGTTTGAAACTCATTAGCAGTTTGTGTTTTGCGTAACTTAATTACAAAGGCTGGTTTGGTATTCAAGATTGAATTGAATGGATAAGTCACAATTTATAAAGATGAAAGAAAAAATGAAAAAATTTGTAGCGAAAGATGAATTACAAAAGATTTTTTTTTTATTAATTTCAATTTTCCTCAACATGAGAGTATTTGAAGAGAGATGTTTTCTTCATGTATAATGATCGTCTTTTAATCTCTTCAAAATGAAAAATTATTATACCTTGAATACATAAGTTATCAGTTCCGAGCCTTATGCTTGTGCATGCTTTAGCTCAAGCGAGTATTTATGTCCATGAATGAAAAATCACTCATTCTATCAGTAATGCGCTATGCTTCCAAGAAAGCTTGGGGCCATTAAATCTTGACTTCACAGTATTCAGTGAGTTCTCAAATGTTCAAGAAATTTTTCAGAGGACCGGGTACACACACATAAGCACAACAGGTGGTGTTCCCAACTAATTACTTACTGACACTTGTAAAATAACAATTAAAATATAGATATCACTTTCAAATATTAATTGTTTTGATAAAAATAATTAAAAAAAACAGTCATTAATCGATTCCAATAACCCAGATCGACCAACGACCCTTTCTCCTCCTTCCCCATCCGCCCCGACTACTATTTCCACCATTCCTCCCGTGAAACCATCCATCTCATCTTTACAATTTTAATCATGTTTAATCATTTTGTAGATCAATTAAATATTACCAAAATCAAAATAAAATAAGAAAAAACAATGATTGATCTACAAGCCCTTAAACATTATTAACTGATCGGGATTCAGCTGACCTCACGAGCCCTTAAATCCGAGGCCAACGACAGCAGATCTGAAGGTGCGGCTGACTACTCTCGGGCTACATGTCAACATAAGAATGGGAGAGAAAAGAGGGAAGAGGAGAAAGAAAAGGAGGAAGAGAGAAGGGATGGGGCGTCATTGGCAGAGTCACAGGGCAACCAAAGTTTACACAGCATTCAATCATAATTGGTCATTGAAAGGAAGAGAAGAAAAAGAATACGTGCCACTGTTGTTAATTCACAATTAATGGTTTTGCGGAGCAATTGCAGCATTTGTTGATTAACTTAAGAGGAAAAACAATTTGAGCTCAGTCATAACACCAATTTGAATCGGGACGAGAAAAATCAAACTTACAGGAGCATGGAAATAAGTTGCTCGATTTGATGGCCCGGATTAGGTAGCGACGACAGGGTGAGAACTGTTGGAGATTAAGCTTGCTGCAGAATTGAAGATGGCTAGGATTTCAAGTTTTCAGTCAAAGTTTAAGTTTATGTTCTTATTATAGCTAGAACACTCGGTTATAATGTATGACTGAGATTAGAATATCGTAACGGCTTGTATTGTGCCATCTGTCATTTTCTATCAATAGTTTAAGTGAAGCATGTGCCTCTCACATGGGGTATATTCGTCACTAGCCAATCGTACAACGTGCAATTAGTCTGATGAAGAACATCAAGTAACGGAATGCCTGTTGCCTTCTTTTGCATCGTCTTTTGAGTATATTTTTCTATATCTTTTATCGCTTTTGACTTTCTTTTTTGTTACCATTAAATCTTCGTCATCATTCAAGTGAACTGAGTACTAGTTTGTCGCATCGTTTCAACTTTAAGTTAATGAAGTGCTCGTGTTCCTCCACCCTGCTAAGCATTACAATGTGCAACGATGAATTGGTTGCAAAGAAGCATCAGTTCATTGCTCAACCGGAAACATAGTTGATTAAGCAGTCAGATTTGGTACTTGTTACAATTCTTTTACTTTCATTATTTGGTGTATTTACATTTGTAGCACAGTTTCTTCGGCAACGTATATATTTAATGGGCGTATAGTTTTATTACCATCCCCAAATGTATTGAAAATGAAGATAGTATGATAAGAATTCCAAGCACTTACTACGTTTCTTTGTGACTTTTCATTTTGTTGATGCATATGCCTCTAAAAATTTAGTCACGTGCATTGCAAATGTCGGAATTAGTAGAAAACTGTGATTGAAGTGATGGTTGAGAGCATGTAGGCATAAATTTAAAATTTAGGGAGCTCAATACTAATTGAAAGTTAGGAAAACAAAGTGATATATTTCATTTTCAATACAAGTTATTTAAGAATGTTTGAATCAAATATAAGACCTCGAGTGTCGTAGCTTGAATAGTTAAAAGGAGAATTTATTTCAACACCCTTGTATCCAAGCAACAAAGCCTAATCGGGTCAAGTGGCCCATGACATTTTGTGTAAAACATTGACGGTTACTTTCTTCATAGGCATGTTGAATAATATAAAGTTCCACATCAGAGACTTGAGGAAATTATTACAACTTGTACTGAGTGATCAACTATTAGTGGCAACGAGACATTTTGCATGAAAATTTACCTTCATAGGTTGTAGCATTTTCAACAAAACTTGATATTAACTGCACTTGAACATTTTTTAAAATTGAGCAGTCATTTAGGGGTCTTAATTCCAGGCTATTACTTATCGACGATGAAGCCTATCCCTAACTCGAGAAGAGATGAGAAGCATACTTAATTTGATTTTCATTGTTTTAATAAGAAGACCAAAAACTAATCACCGAGACGTTGGGTTTTCAAGAAGCAATCAAATGAGCCCAGTACCCACAAAGGAAAGGCCCAAAATATTTAAGCCCAAAAAGAAAGAAACTAATGCAAAACCAAGCTGTTAGTTTGTTACGATCCGTTGTTTCTCCCGCCAATTTTCAGTTGGGGACTCATCTTGATATTTACCGGTTTGCCCTTCACCATCGAGCTCCCTCCCTTATATCTCACAACGAAGTGCTTACTGAAACCACAGACACCATTCACTCATCAAATCTTTCAAGAACTTAAGAGAGAGAGAGAAGAAAGATCAAGAATTGAGAGAGAAAACCAGAAATCTCTATCATTTTGGAAACCGAAAATGCGAAGAAATACGCGAAGATGGTGGTGAAAGACGGAGAGAAGTCTCTGTGAGATTAATGCTTCTTGCATTACGTAATCAACCGTTTCAGTCGATAGAGTTTTGGGAAAGAAAATTTTCTGGGAAAATGTCAGATTCCGGTGAACAAGGGGCAACAATTTCTGGGCAAGTTTCCGATTCCGATGAACAAACAGCACCAAGTTCTGCGGAAGAAGAAGCACCATATTCTGGGGAAAACCCATAGTCCAGCGAAGCAGCAGAAGATTCTGAGGAAAACACCGAATCCAGCGAAGCAGCAGAAGATTCTGAGGAAAACACCGAATCCAGCGAGCCGGCACCACCAACTCCTGCGAATACACCGGCTTCCAGTGTAGGAGAAACCGCAGGGGAAAAGAATTTTGATTTCGAGGATGTAAGAGCAGCACTTGCTGAGACTATTCCGGGTTTCGTTGGACAACAAGCACAAGTAAACCCACTGAGAATCAACTTCAATGCATCCAGTTCCGGTGAAGAAAGTGTAGCAGAAGCACCAAAGTTTATGCCAAATCCACCTTCTTGGATAGAGGATTCCGATGAAGAAGGATTTCAGGGTCAACAAGAAGCAGCAAATCCCAATGAACAAGAAACAGATTCCAGTGACTCTGGTGAACCAGAAGTACAGTCCGCCGCACCACCGAAGGTGATTATTATGACTCCAGCGGATTGGAAAAGGGCTCTTTCTGATCAAGCAAAGGCAGAAGAAGAAGAAGAAAAAGAAAATCCGAAGGAAGTTCTTCCAGAGTTGATTCATAACACTAACGTTCAACAAGCAGAGCTTGAGGACCGGGCGGTTGGGCATCCATCTTTGATTGGTGGCTCTAGCAAGAACCCCGATCCTCCCGCTGCCGTGCAGAAACCTGATTCGCAGCCGAGTGAAGGTGCCGCTGAGAATGTGGAGCTGGGGAAGAGAAAGATCGATGAGAAGGGCAAGGGGAAACTGGAAGACAACCAAGAAGATGGAGGAGAAGAAGTGAGCGAAGAAGAGGAAGCTGCAAGTCCGAGATCGAAGATACCGAAAAAATCTCAAGATGAGAGGCTGGCGATTGGGGATCCGTCTTTGCAAGCTCGCTCTAACAAGAACCCTGCTGTTCCTCCTGCCACCCCCGTGACAAAACCCGATTTGAAGCCAAGTGAAAGCGCCACCGAGGGGAAAAGAAAGATCGGAGAGAAGGGCAAGGGGATCAAGGGGGAAGAAGAGAGCGAAGAAGATGAAGCTGCAAGTCCGAATTCGAAAAAATTGAAAGGTCCAGAACCAGAAGAGTAGAAGTGGTAAAAGGCATCGATATTCATCAAGACAATCAAGACAATTAAGACAATTATTCAATCATGCTCTGTTTCTGAAATAAAACGTTATGCGATGATCGACCGGAGTAGGTAGATTTGAGTTTCGATGGTGAAAGTCTATCGAAAAATTGATCAGTGTTTTAGATTTTCAACTAGTTTCCCTGTTAGATCAATGTGGCTTAAGATCTCTGCAAATTTCATTGAACTTTGTTCGTCGAATTCAATCCTAGAACTTTGAATTAGTGTACATTTTTCTGTATTTCACGTTGCTTTCGACTTGTTTTTGTTACACTTAAATCGTCATCGTCATTTCCGTGGCTCACATACTAGTTCGTCATATTTTGACTTATGTTTATAAAATGCTTGTAATCCCTCTCTAATGTGCTAAATATGAATTATAAGGGTGCTCTTCAAGTCCTTGTTCCGATACAAGCAATATTAGAGGATGGTTAAATCGAACATAAGACCTCAAGCGCCGAAGTAAACTCTTACCCCTTACTTGTATCCGAAGCAACAAAAGCTTATTTGGTAAAACAAACTTAAATTTGAGTACAAAATTCATAGACATGGAAAACGAATCGGGTCAAGTGGCCCATTACACTTAAAGTTACACGGCCCAAATGACTAAAATCCATGGGGTCCATATAAACTAGGTCCAAGTGCCCATTGATTACCCGTTCAAGTCATCGAGAGCGCGCAGTACGCAACCTGCGTCGTATAGAAAACATCATAAATCCCAGCACAGTTATATGCCTATCGTCATCGTAAAATCACCGATTTACGAAATTGCCTCGGAAATTCTCTGCAGAAAAAATCTAGGTATTTATTCATTTAAAATTAAATAAATCCCCAAATAGTTCCGTAATTAATTCTTTAATTTCCATTGGAATCCCCGTTAAACTTCTGCGAAAGTTACCAATTCTCACTCATAAATTACGAATTGCGCTTGAATTCTGACAAATTTTAGGGGTTTTGTTCTGTTCTGGTTGGCGATTGGGAGCTGGAGTAGGGTTTCGAGCGATTTCTGAGGCCGATCAATGAAAGGGGAAGTGCAGCTGGAGCCAACAGGTGAAGGGGAGCGAGACCGAGACCCTACTGACATCGAGCCTCTGCTACCGAACCAGGACGATTCGTCGCCGGCAAGCTCGAGTGAGATCAACAACGAAGACCTTGAGTCTGGCTCTTTCCCTTGCTGTCGCATTTGTCTCGAAAGCGATGCCGAACCAGGTCAATCAGTTTTTGATTAATGAAATAAAGTTTGTTAATTTGAATTTTTGTTTAAGCAGTGTTGGATTTCAGTGTTGTGTGATTCCTGAGGAGTGATTAATTGTTTTGTGGGTTAAATTGTTGTGATTTATTGTAATCGGAGTTTGAAACTTCGAAAGATTGTATCTTTTTGTAGTTTTAAGTCTATGTTAACAGGTTGCAGTAATTTGATTCATTTGGGAGTTGAAATGAGTATAAAAACTGTGAATTTCGCATGTTTTTGGAAATTGGGCTAAGTTTGGTCTCGTTGCTGCGTAGGCATATTGATGCTGCTGTTGGTCTGACTTGTGATGTTTAACTTTACAGAGGATGAATTGATTTCACCTTGCATGTGCAAAGGCACCCAGCAGTTTGTTCATAGGTCCTGTCTCGATCACTGGCGCTCCATTAAAGTAAATAACCTTTTCTATTAGAGTCAGGATATTGTATATCATGGTGAAATTTTGTGATATTTTCTCTTAGATTGTGTAACCATGTAGTGGTTTCAAATTTACTGAACTTGTTATCACCTCCATCTTTCATCTGCTTTTCTAGGAAGGATTTGCTTTCTCACACTGCACAACTTGCAAAGCCCAATTTCACCTTCGAGTTGAGACATATGAGGACAATGTCTGGCGCAAAATAAAATTCCGAGTTTTTGTGGCGAGGGATGTTTTCCTCGTGTTTTTGGCTGTACAATCAGTAAGCAATTGCTCTTTGGAATTTTATATTGTTCTGTTATTTATTTACTTTCTTTCATAATCAGTTGGTTTTCCTTCCGCCCGTCTCTGATTAATTTTGTTTCCAGGTTATAGCTGCAATTGGTGGCTTTGCATATGTCATGGACAAAGATGGGGCCTTCAGGAATTCATTTAGTGATGGTTGGGATCGTATTTTGTCAAAACATCCTATACCATTTTATTATTGTATAGGTAAAATCCTACACCTTAAAACTGTTCATGTAAAAAGGTTATTTAGTTCAGGGTTTTTTCCCTCCCTCATCTAGGAAACTTTTAAACACACTGGTTCTCACTTGTCAAAACTATTCAATTTACAAACATGAGACTAGCTTATGGGGTTCATAACTGTTGCTACTTAATATTTGGCATCCTAAGTGTCATAATGGTATATCTGAGGAAAATGATAAAAAGATTTGGGGGTGGCAATCATGCTATTTACTTTTCCATTTATCATTCAATACACGTAGAAGGCCGTTCTTGTTGTTTCAAGTAATATTGTGGAGGTATCAATGAAAGATGCGTTTTGATTTTGGTTTTGCTTTCTATTAATGTCTTTTTTGATATGGATAGATCTGGTCTAATAGTCTTGTTCGGTACAACGGTATCAAAGTTTTCTACTTGTTTGATTGTTTATAAAGAGAAGGATTATGGGGACAAATAAATATTGCACTTGTTATCAGTACCTTACATCTATTTTCTTGTATTGAATCAGGGGTACTGGCCTTCTTTGTGCTGCTTGGATTTTTCGGGCTCATACTACACTGTTCATCGTTCAATAGCAATGACCCACGGATGGCCGGGTGCCAGAACTGTTGCTATGGTTGGGGAATCTTGGATTGTTTCCCCGCATCTATGGAGGCTTGCTTTACCCTCGTGATTGTGTTTGTTGTCATCTTTGCCATTCTTGGCATAGCTTATGGTTTCCTGGCCGCTACCATGGCTATTCAGAGGATTTGGCAGAGACATTATCACATCCTGACCAAGAGGGAACTCACAAAGGTTAGTCCTCGACATTCTTCTCCTGTGCCTGTCTACATACTTGTATTTAATCATTTCTTGGAATGTGCACGGACTTGCATTAGTTTTCCAGACCAAGAGAGAGTCCGCATCATCTCATAAACTTTCATATCTTAGATATTTGCATCAGTCAAAAGTCCTGCAATGCTAATGGTTCAAAATTATGCAGGAGTATATAGTGGAGGATCTTCATGGATGCTATACCCCACCAAAACTAGATGCCGAACATGAAGCGCGTCTGAAAATGCTGAAGTTGTTGTAGAGATAGAAACAAATTTCAGGATATGAAATCCGCTGTGTGTATTTGCATTTGTAACTTAGAAAGATCCAACAAATGTTGGGGGGATTACCACTAGTGCACTACTTTGTACTCTCATGACTTGTGATTTTTGCTTTGCTCCGGGATTGTACCGATTGAGCTATTCTTCGACTTGTGTCCTCTGAGTCTTGTGTATGCCTCCAGCGAAGCGAGTTTTTACCGTTGTATTTCCACCCCAGGTCACTCGTGTAACGTCATGTATAACCCAAGAAACTATTTTGTTGTTCAAATTTAAGCTACATGTCTCAAATCCAAAAATCTCTCATTTGAATCCAAGACTACGTGATTTTTTGGTTTAATTCAGTTTTATTTGTATTTTGTAAGATCTTCAACCTAAACTTGTTTACTATAAATCTATATCACATGAACCCTAAACCCTAAGCCCAACGACAAGTCATCTCCCGTAATTTCTGCCGAGTGAGAGGTGTTCGCGCAAAACTCCCTCAATGCATATCGGGTACATCAAAGAAAACACGCTTGCCGAAAATCCAAGTCCGGAGAGGAATGATGTCACAACCGACAGGACCAACGATGTAGTCGGCATACTAGTATCAATGTCACCACTAACAAGATGGACGTGGAAGCGGAGACGGATGATCAAGTCTCCCTCGGATCTTGAGCGGCTCATGCTCTTAGATATGGCGATATGGCGTATTAACCTAACCAACTTGCTTAACTTATAGTTACATATGTTTGTATTCTAATTTGATTTTTATTAGTCGACAACAAAAAAGCGTGAATATTTGATTTTACCATGTGGCTCGAGATAAAACTGATTTTATTGTACAGTTTTTACTTTTTCAGGCTGTAAATCATGTACATTTGATGCCACAAACAATTTACTTGCACTGTGACTTGACGTGCAAGTCATAATATTGAAAGAAAAAATAAACACAAGAAAATAGCCACACCAAAAGAAAAATATATGGAGACAACGGAGGACAGCAAGAGGTTAGCCGTGTCCATCATTTTCATCCACATCTCCTAATCCAACATATCTTAATCTGGATTAGTCCGTGGTAATACCGACATTTTAGTAACAAATCCTCTTTAATTAATCGGAGGATTTTGGCTGTTAGTTTCTTATTATTGTTGTGATTCACCAGCACTTACAAAAACAAGATGATCACCATCTCTAATTACATCAATATCGTCGATTTCGGCTCCATCTTTGCTCACGATTTTCGCCGGTGAGAGTCCGAATTTCTTTGCCCCCATCTCAAGCAACTCCTCATAACTCAGTGGGAGCAGCACAAGTTTGCCTTTCACTTCACCCTTTTCAGGGCAACTAATTGTCACCCTAGCAGCAGGGTTGCTTACGTAGCTCTTAGGACTTTTCGTCTCCGCAACGGAGAGAAACAAGTCTTTCTCCCCGGTGTGGGCAGCTGACATCATGCCAAACAGAGAGTTGTGGAAGTTATTAGTCCTACGCCTCGGGCGATTTCTGCCGCATGATCCTCCCTCCGCTCCTGAAAACGAGCTGTCTGTGGGTGGAGGGTGGATAGTTGGCTCGCTCGTAAACCTCCCAAGGAACCGGATTCCACTCTTGTGTTCGGGAATGGTAATGGCGACTTTGGGTTCTTTACTAGAGTGGAAAAGGGTCTTTATGTCTTCGTGTCCTTGCTGTTCCGCTAGGGCTCTCGGGGTCCAGCCATGGAG